AGGCCAATCACTGCAGAGGACAAAGCCCGGAGTGGTGGAACACACCCGTCCTTGCGGCACTCAGGAGGCTGAGGCAGGAGGATCACTGTGAGTTCGAGGCTAGCTTGGGCTATATAATGAGACCCTGTCTCAAAAAAGCAGAAGAAAGCTCCCTCTGTGAACCAAACCTGCCAGGTTGTGGATGGTGACTCCCCAGTCCCCAGAACCATGGGAAATTTTGTGTGGCACCTTCAGCCCGGTCTGTAGTCTTCTGCTATAGCAGCAGCAGAAAGTGCTCACTGGAGAGCAAGGAGAAATCACGAGTCGGGACATCTCCAGCACTGCACAAGACCCCCACAGCTGGCTGGGTGGCCGGCAGAATTAGGGGCCATCTCCAGGGCCCATCTGTCAGTGTCTGAAGCAGATGGGTAAATGGAACGAGTTGGGGGGAGGCAGAAAAATAAATGGGACATCAAACCCAGGAAGTCTGCAGGAAACATCAGAGGGCCTGATGGGAGAGGATTCTCCACCAAGGTCTCCGCCCCTTTCCAGTCTCAGGCGATAACCGCGGGCAACCCAGTGCTTTGTCACCTAACAGAACAGGTGCCACTCAAAGAGAACATCCAGTTTTCACCTCGCCCAACACGCGATTCCTGAAGGCCACCGAAATGGTCAGGTTGTAGGTCTCCTTGCCACACACACTACTTTTGAAATGTGACTGTGTGAAGTTCACATGGAGGCGGGGGCAGGAGGAGCATAAGTTCACGCCCAGCCTGGGCAACTTAGTAACAGCCTTCTTCCCCTTGGCTCCCCAGCGTTTCAGGGTGACCACAGGGCCATTGCACTGAGCCTTCCCTTATGTGTTGCTCACTTTCTCAGGGGTGACTTCTTGGGCCACCCCATCTAGAACTGTTAAGCACTAGTCAGGATCTCATCTGTTATATATTTGAATAAGTTGTCTGACTTAATGACTTTCTTCCCCACCTGGAAGTGAACTCAGTAGGGTGAAATTCTCTCGTATATTTTATTACTATACCCCAAGGATAGCAATGCACATAGTAGAAGGAGGTGACCAGTCCCCTGCATAAGCAATGTGCCCGAGGCTGAGCTGAGCGACCCCAGGTGGGGAGGGGAGGAGGTGCAGCTCACCGAGGTGGACCGATGCACCCAGAACCAGCCCTCTATCCCCGCTGTCTTCTCCAGCCACCTCTACCCAGCTACTGCGCATTCTCTTCCTGGGTTCTCAGGGCTGCACCTCACAGGAGGGATTCCCAGGCCACAGAGCATCAGATCCCATGGAGGGGGGGCTTGTTAAAACACAGGCTGGCTGGGCGTGGTAGGATGCCTGCAACCCCAACAGGGAAGCTGAGGAGACAGGATTGGGAGTTTGAGCCCAGCCTGAGAAACATAGAAGGTTAGTGACTGCCCCCCCCAAATAAAAAGTAAAACAAAGGCTGAAGATATAGCTCAGTGCAAAGGCCCTGGGGTCGGCACACACACACAAACTACCAAACAAACAAGCCAAAAACACTAGCCTTTGGAGCCTCCCCTAGGTCTCTTCAGACTCAGAAGACCCAGGACCGGGTCTGAGAATCTACTTTAGGAACAAGCTTCTGGGGGCTCCTTCTGGCACCCCGCTTTAAGAACCACTATAGCACAGGGACTTTCATGCAATAAAATGGATGAGCTCACAGCTGCAGGTGGTTTGGGTTGGATTGGGATTACGACCCACAGCACGGCGCATTCGCACACGACCTGCAGGGCGCTCCACGGAGTCACCATCACCAGTGGAGAGAAGGCTACGCCCACTTCCCTCCCCCCACAAGGCCTTGGGCAGGCCTAGGCCGGGCATGCGCAGAGGGAGGACAGCGCTGCCCTGCCCGGTGCTGCCTCCTGGTGACAGAGGGCAGTTTGCATTTGACCTGTGGCAGATCCTGTGGTCTGTAGGGTCTGGGGCTCAGGACCCTCAGCAGGTTAAAGCCTGCAGCCAGGGACAAAAGCTCGATTCTTGCGGCAGCAGATCTCATTTTCCCCCTCGTACTGCATTTTTGCCGCTTCCCACCTCCCGTTTGGGCAGCAGGTCCCTCCCACTCCTCGGCGGATAGAGGGATGTGTAGAGGGCCGAGGCCGAAGAGTGACACCGGTGAGGAAGGAGGTGCCGCAAAGCGTGCCTGTCCCACCCCGAGAGGCATTTGCCAAAGTGCAGTGACAACCGGGTCACGGCCCACTCCACCCAGCCCAAGGCCAACTTCAGATGTGTGTGAATTCCCCTGCACCGGGCTCCAGGATGCGCACTGCTACAGAACAGCCCCTGCGCCCAAGCCAGAGCAGGGACGTTTGAGGGCGGGCTGCCTCTGGGCATCTATACCCTGTCTGGTCACAACCCCCTTCCCACTTCCTGCCGGGCCAGGCTGAGCCCTGGCAGTGTCAGGGGCCCCGAGGACACCTGGCACAGCAGGCTGGAGCCGTGAGTGGTCTCGTTCAGCACAGGCCGGACAGTGTCAGACACGGCGGTCAGCAGTCGGGGTGCTGTGTCTCCCTGAGTCCACCACATTCCCCAGGGACTTGCTCAAACTCTACTCCCCGGGCTGCTGTGAGGGATTTTTAAGGCCACATCCCCAGCAGCTGCCCTGCATTAAAGAACACTGTGGCAAGCCTGGTGAAATGGGCTGAGGTCTAAAGTGCAAACCCTGAGCTTTCCAGGGAAGGAACAAGTCTGCTTGGGCGTCAGCTCAGCCAGCCCCCATAGCCATGAAAGGATTTTCTTAAAACAAAGCTCCCAAAGTAGACCCTTAGTTTCTGGGGATCCAACAGAGGCACTAGGCCAGCACCCCAAGACAGGCAGATACTAAGCTTAGTCTGCGGCCCGCAATCTCTTCTGCAGAGGGGACCCACAACCACCAGGCCCTGTACCCCAGGACAGTCTCCGCGGGGAGGGTGATGATTGGTGGCCAGCTGCTTGGGGGTACTTGGCATCTGTGTTGTCCCCAGCTGCCACAGCGGGGCTCTATGTCACAACCAGCACCACGGACCCCAAGGGAGCACCTGGACCTTGCTTACAGGCAGATGGAGTAAACCGCAGGTGGCCACGGGCCCACGGGGCACTGCCTACTGGGACCTCAGGGTGCGGCAGGATTCTGAGCAGCGTGGGAATTCTGGGAGGCCTGGAACAGGAAAAGCTCAAAGACCCCACTGTTCCCTTGTGAGGGGATGCCCAGTGTCCCCGAACCCTGACCTAGGGCTCTGGGGAACCCACCTCAGCTGGAAAGACCGCCCAGCCCCGTCATCGGCTACCGACCGAGGGCATCAGGGTTAGATATCGGGGGTGCGGCGTGGGCACGTCTCCCACACGCGGAAGGTGCAGTGCTTTTGGTATTTTGCTCGGGAGCGGTGCAGGGAGAACAAGAGAAGCTTTATTTCTGTAGCATTTGTCTTGCCTTCTGCTCAGGCTCCTTCAGCTAAGTCTGGGTGGGCCTGGCTGATCCCAGCTACCATGGGCCGCAGAGGAAGGCCGGGTTCATGCGCCCTCCCTGCCAGACAGAAATCCTGAGTTCCTCTCCCAGCTCCATCCCAGCCTCTGTCTCACAGGCTCTCAGTGTACTTCCGGGAGAAAGACGTCCACCTCTGAGAAGAGAAGACTAAGAATTCCATCTTGCTCTTAGTCTCCTCACCATGGCCATACTGGGGGCTGGGGCTCACAGGACTCACCCCAAATGGAGGCCATGGAGCCCTTTCAGGCATAATGATGGACGGGATTGGCAGTAAACTACACAGTTGAATCATTTACTGCCAGGACTGGGGAAGCCCCATCTGGATGAGCCCCCTGATGCACCTGCCTTGAATCGGCCTGCAGTGGGCTCAGCACAGATCCATGCTGCTGCCGAGAAGGAGGGAGAAGCCCCAAAGAGACTGCCTTCAGGGCTTCGGGCCAGCCCTGGCACTGCCCCTCTGCCCGTGTGACACGTCCGCCCTTGCGCTGGCATTCCCGCTAGGCGACTGTGGCTTGGCCCCATCGTTGGCAACCCCAGCGGTTGACGCATCAGTTTCCAGCACTTATAAAACACTGCACTCAGACATCTAACATCAAACATATACGTAACAGAGAGGCCCTGCCACAGCCGCAGAGTGGAAAATGTTCTGGGCGCGGAGGAGCCCGACACCCACTGGTTTACAGCCAAACTCTGAGCCCATCTCAGTGATGATTCTGAGCCCCAAAGTGCCTGGTCGCTGGTTTCCGGTCCATCACAGGAGGATGATCTTCCTGCCGACCTGCTGAGGGTTCTGAGGGGCTACAGGAGATAGAGGGCTTTTATACATGAGAAACTGCCAACCGTCCCTGTGACTTCAGGCAGAAATGTAGGCTACGAAACATTTAAAAGAAATTCTCCTTTCTTTGTCCTGAGACGGTGTACTTTTTGCCTGGATATATATGGGACATACATCCTCCTGGAGTTAACCTTACTTTTCACAACTACTTTCTATACTTCTGTGTGCTCAAATCAGTTCCGCAAGGGACAGCTACGTTTTCATGACAAACTCAAGAGAGCAGTTCTTGGAGACAGAGCTTGGGATGGCGTATGAGTTGAGAATGAACAAGAGGAGGGACAGCAGGGCTGCAAGGCTGAATGTTGGGACAGATGCCTCACTGCCTGGTTGCAGAAGACACCCTCCCTCCATCCTAGCAAAAGACAGTGTGATTCTGCAGGCAATCAAAGCCTCAGAGATGAAGCGGGCCATATGTGGGCATGGTCCCCTCTCCCACAAAGCCCTCATGCCTGGGAAACAGAACTGAACATCCCATCTTCAAAGAGAGTTCTTGGTAAATAAACTACCGGTTTTACAGCCTTTATCCGCAACACAAACCACTGGAGAACACAGTTTCTCAGTGTCGCCCAATGCTCCCGGTCCACGGCCTCCATTTCTGAACCCATCCTTGGAGAAGGGAGAGCAACTTCCGGTGCAAGGAAACAGGAAGTCGGGAGGGGTGGGGTGCAGGAGGCGAGGAACTGCAGTCACCTTACCTGGAGCCGTTGACCTGGCCAGGGTGGCATTCCATCTTGATGGTGACTCTGGTGGGGGGCTGAGACAGCCAGTCCTGCTGGGGGACCCGCGGGCTCATCTTGGAAGTCTGGCCATAGTCTCCAGAGGAGGACGCAGTCATCTCTGACTTGGCCAGGTGTGGCGTTCCGTAGGCGCACTCAAATAACGACTGGTCCTCGCTCACCACTGATAGTGCTTCCTAAGTGCCCAAAGAAACACATATTCAGGACTCTCCAAAGGGCAGTCATGGCCAGAGTCATTTCTTTTCTTTTTTCTTTTTTTTTTTTTTTTTTTTTTTTTTTTTTTTTTTTTTTTGGTACAGGGGATTGAACTCAGGTCCTTGCGCTTGCAAGACAGGCCACCGAACCGCTGAGCTAAATCCCCGGCCCTAGAGTCATTTCTAATGGGGACAGTCGCAGCAGAAGTAGATTGTATGGACTCCATTTCTACTTTTCAGAAAAAAGAGCCCCCTGTTTTCTCCCCAGGAGGCTGGAAGTGTTGGAACTGGCGAGCCCAGAAACACCGGATGTGGGATTCAGGGCATCTCAGATGCCAGCAGCAGGGCAGATGATACCCACTTTCATCTGAACTCAAGGAAGTTGAATTTCAAAGGTCTTAGAAGACAGCCAATTGCATGTGTCATTATTTGACACATGCAATCTATAACTCAAGCAGACAGGGTACAGAACAGTCGTGAGAATTAAAAAAAGACCTGTGAGGCTGACACCTCAACATCTGGCAAAACTGCCACGCTCCCAGGAGGCTCAGAGGAAGAGAGTGAGGGGTGGTGGGAACAGCAAAGACAGCCAGACACGATCTTGCTTTTTCTGCTCTGATTAGAGTTGCAAGGGGTGCTTCCATGATGGCGACATCTGGATGATAAATGAACCCTCAAAAAGCAAAGCTGTGAATTATCCAGATGCTTCCAAACACTCTACTAGGAAGTCTAAAATACCTGGATCAGTGAATAGCTGAAGTTTTTTTTTTTATCTTTACTTTCTATTAATATCTTTGCTTTTCTGCATGATTTAATGAAAAGAAATAAAAATCTGTCGTGGTTGGATCATTTCTTTCTGTGGTTTTAAGTCAAACAAGTGGTTAGCTCTTGGCTGTGTTTATATTCTGCAGCCAGATCAGCGCAGGCAAACTTGATTTGGAAATCTCAGGTACTTGAAAGATACAGCAAATACACAGAGTAACTCTGAGATGATCCAATTTGGTTTCTAAAACAGAAAAAAAAAAAATTCATGTGACAGCTCATTTTTATTTCAGTCCTTTGGCCATCAGCTCACGAGGAGCAGATACTCCTTGAGTCACAGATCATGTTTTAAAAAATAGAACTTTGGAGCCAGTTTGGGGAGGAGGGAGATCATGGGGACCATCTCGTCTCTGTGGTCCAGAAAGGTGCACATCTCACCGTAGGTGACCTGGTCACGATGACCCAGGGTGAGGAAAGGGACAGGCCTGGATGTCATCATGTTCCCCTCCTGTCTCTGCAGTCCACAGGGCCCTCTCCAGTGTGCAGGCTTGGGAAATGTGTTTAAATTAGCTGTTATGCTTGAGACACCCCTAAGCTGCATGCACTTATAGATGGGGTTTTTGAATGGCAATTGGATTATAGGGGCTTTTCACTGACTTGTTTTTTAGCAGGTGGAATAAGTTCGAAGAGATGGTCACTCGGCCATGGCCTGGAGGCGTTCACTTCCCTCCCCAGCTCCTCCTTGAACTCCTCTGCTTTCTGTCCACCATGCCCTGAGCAGCTCTCTTCCACTGGACCCCTCCTTGGAGCCAGCTGACCACAGACTGAAACCTCAACAGATTGTGAGCCGAAATAAACGGTCCTCCTTTAAGTTGTGGTATTACGTCTCAGCGACAAGAAGGTGACTAGGACATTAGCACTCCCTTCTTGTTCTTGACATCAACTTTTACATACATAAGGATGGTCACCATGAGTATTAGAGCCATATGTTACAGCCAGTCTGAGCTGGAGACCTCCATTCCCAGAACTATCAAAATCATGCAATTTTACAGAGCTTTCCTCCCACCTCCACGCTGGGCCACTCTCTTCCCCACCCTCAGGCCCAGGCTTTGCCCTGCTTCCCAAGGGCACAGCATCCTGACCACATGTACCATCTCTGAGTCAGTCAGCAAGCAGAGCCAGTGGGAACAAACCCTGTTCTCTGGCCCGAGTGATGGTCATGGCCCCACCCTCAACCCCGGAGCGACCAGGAGGGAAGCTCCGGGACAGGCTGGGCAAGACTGAAGTGGGAGTTCTGAGCAGCAGGGCACCAAGGCTGAGGGCAGCCGGAGCACCAGAATCAGGCACAAGGGAGACAAAGGCGTCTGAAACAAACCCGCAACCAGTCACATCCACCCAAAGAAGCCACGAGAGGGAGCAGGACAGCGGAGAGCAGCCGTGTGCACCCCAGATGCTGCCGAATCTAAACCTCACAGCACTCTCCTGAGCACACTGGGAGGTGAACACAAGGCCTCTGAACCCACAGTCCCAGGTGGCGAAGGGTGATCACGCTGGGCGTGGTGGCCTGTGCCTGTAATCTCTGCACTCTGGGAGGCTGAGGCAGGAGGCCCAATTGTTCAACACAGCCTGGGCAACTTAGTAAAGTACTGAGACCCTGCCTCTAAATAAAATGTAAAAAAGGGCCAAGGAGGTGGCTCAGCATGAAGACCCTGGGTTCAATCCCCAATATAACAGCACCTAAAACTAAACTAAAATAAAATCAGCACCATTGATTTCATGAAGCCACGCTAATTAATAAAGGCAAAAATTATAGCTTTTTAAGTGATTTCACTGAGCAGGCCCCCCCTCCCCGGCCCACGGCAGCGCTGGGAGATGGTTTACAAACAGGGCAGACAGCTGCTCTCCTCTCCTGGCCGGGCCTGCAACCCCCAGCAGGCTTCAGAGAGGTCAATGAGCTCTGTGATGCTAGTTTTGGCAGTCTGCGAGAAACATGAATAAAGGTGCGATTTATATCAGAAACCAGCCAAAGCACGTTACCTGTAGAGGACAGGCAGAATTTAAAGTTACAGATTAAAAAGAAAAGAGTTTCAACATCAGCAATGGGAAAGGCGAAAGCTCTTAAATAGTAGCATGCCACCAGGTAAAATATTCTTATAAACAGAGCCACTGGCCAGATAAATATAGCATAAGGTTGGGGTGGGGAGGGGAGACCAAAATATTCTAAATAAAGTGAGGCTCAAAGTGTGTGTTTCTGGGGGGAAGGAATCCATTCTCACATCTGGCAAAGCAATATTCCAGCACATGGTTTTCTAAAGAAAGAAACCAAAGTTAATTGAGATTGATTTAGAGGGATAAAAGACCTCAGATAACAAGCGTTTCCATCCAATCTTCGTATTTTAAAATTCTTCTCTAAGTTAATATCGCCTGAAAATGAGAAAAGGGACAAAATTCAGAACAGCAAAAGCAACCACTTCATCACTTTGGTTTATCAGAGGGGAAAGATTTGAAAAAGGGGTAAATTAAGTCAGGCAGAAACCTAGAATTGAGTACAGGTTAGGAAAATGAAGCAAATTTTTAAAAATCGCACATACACACCACCTACGCTCCTTTTTTTTTTTTAACAACGGAGGAGGTAACAGAGTGAGGGTAGTTTTCAGAGACTTATCAACAAGGACAATCGTTACTGTTAGCTGCTAGAAGAAAACCAAGCTGTGGACCCCTAGCCCTTTGTCCCCACACCTGACTTGGTGACCACAAGGTCTCACAACCCAGTTTGAAGTCTGAATGACAAAGCATATCTGCGCGGCAGTCCTAGGACTTCAGAGGGGAGACAGTGTCACTGTAGCCGGCGGGATTAAAACAGACAAAAGTAGCTGGGTGTAGTGGCGCACGCCCATAATCCCAGCACTCGGGACGCTGAGGCAGGAGGATCTCTGTAAATTCGAGAGCAGCCTGGGCTACATACTGAATTCCAGGTCAGTCTCAACTACACAGTGAGACCCTGTCTCAAAAACAAACAAACAAACAAACCCCCAAAACAGATGGAAGTGTGAGCCCAGGCTGTTAACGGGAAACACGGGGTCTGTGGCTGCAGCCCCGGCTGTGGCTGCTGATGTCCCCGCTTCCCTGTGCCCTGGCTCCTTCCCTGGCCACCAGGCCACCCCACCTCCTGTCCACCTGCCTGCCTGTCTGCCTTGGTGGGTGCCTCAGTGAGCCCTGAAAGGTCGTTCTTTCAGAACCCCAGACCAGCCGAAGAGTGTAAGCCTTTTGCTTTATTTGCTTTATAACCTAGAATTCAAAACCAGCCAAAATATGGCAGAGACACAACATAATAATTTAATATGCCTGCTCTGTGTCTCTATAAAAAGGCTGAAATTGAGACTGGTGGCTGCCAGTGTGTGTTTGGGGGTGTTTTTCTGTAGCTCCAGGAAAGTTGGGGTGGTCTGATGTGGCGAGTAGCTGCTGCCCGAGGCCATTTATGTGAAAAACACGTAAATTCCCAGCAAACTAGACAAAAGTTCGCCCTAGCTGCCCCAGGCAAAAGGCACTGCTGGGTTGGCACTCTGGTGTTCTTACTTCGAGTACTGAAAGCACCAGTGGTTTACGAGGATCATTCCTTTGTATCCTGATCATAGGAGAACAGCCGGGGGCAAGAAAGTATCCAACATTATATTTAGATTGAAAAAATAAACAAAACAGATAAATAAAAATGTTGAGTGCACTTTGCATGCGTACCAATCCTTCCAGTGGGACCAAGGGGCCCCCACGCCTCTCTGTGGCACACAAACGCTCTGTTAAGTAAAAAAGGGTTAGAAATCAAGGTCTCAGCCCAAATTTGTTTCTGACTTGTGATGCCCCAAGGTCCATCAGAATAATATATTGTCAATAGACACGATCCATCATACCATTCTCCTGAAAATCTGGGAGTGACGGAGTTCTCACACTGAGCAAAACCTTCAGGGGTGACCCGGACTCATTCGCAGCAAGTGGGGGGCCAAGCAGGCGTGACAGACGCGGTTCCTAAATAGTTTCCGAGAGTCCTGGATGCCACGGCGATTGGATAATTATGAAAAGCAAATGCACAAGCGACGTGGGGCAAGAATTTTAGACTGGGGCCGTTCTACAGAATAATCTCCCAGAAGTTCGTGCTGTCCCAATGGTGTGGAGACTGCGCACAAACGAGGCCCACATCGCCTGGTGTCAGCAGCCCGCCTCTCCGT